CTGTATGACGTAAAAATGTGTACAGATTCATTAAGATAATTTAATTGCAATGGCAAATGTTGTGCAACAATTCGTCGTGTCATGTCTTTGCGCCACATTTTGTTGATCGAAAAGATTCACAGATGAGCTTTGAATTGCAGCATTCTTTTCAATTTATAAAAGCGAATTGTTTAATTAATGTGTTCCAGTTCCGTGTTTTTGTTTCCATCTTCCATCGTTGTCGTCGCTCGAATGTTTTTCAAATCCGACGAACAAACAATTTAGATGTATGTGACTGTCGATGTGCCCTGCTTTTTATATGTTTTGGCGCAACTTTATTCATGCTGAAAAATTTGAAGCACTTAACACAGATAAGAATGGAGAAGAAGAATTTGTCTGCTGTTTTGCATCAAAAGAAGAATTTTGATTACCAAATAATAGTTTGATGTTTGGGCAGGGTTCACTTGTGCTAGCATGACAAAGTGCTTTCAATGTATGCGATGCATTTATTCAACAACAATTAACGCAACACCACGAATAATAAATGTGCTCTTCCATTCAATGGCAACCGATGAGATCATCATCGTCTTAAAAGAAAACATGAACGAACACACATACATTGACTTCGATATTCTATTCACATCGACGCGTTGTGTACGGTGTACGCGTTATTATTTTCGCTTTTTCGGCACCATTAAAATCCATGTTATTGTTAATTTTCACCAAATTTCCGAATTCAAAAGATGATTATTGTTTGGATTTTGCATTCTGACAAACAGGTGGCCATGCTTAATGAATTTCTCATTCAAAAGCATCCTGTTTTGTGCGAGGTGTGGAAAATGACATCAGAAGCTCCTTATATTATTATTGTTTTCGCAACCATCTTCAACTGAATAAAGGGATCGGCCTCTTGAGACATTTTCATAATGAGTGGCATTCGATTTCGTCGACAATGGCGATGAGATGATGCGCTTACACATGGTTCCATCGTTTCTTTGTTCATTCGTCCCTTATCCGTATCGTAAATTGATGGATTTTTATTTTCATTTGTTCGCTTTATACATGTAAAGCGATACGTGTTGCTTTTACCATTCCGGTATTTCTGATGAAGCGTCAATTGTTGGTGCTGTTGCCAAAGTCACAGATAATTAATTTAATGAAAATAAAATAATGAACAATGAGAATTCGGTGTTTTGCCATTTTTATCGCTATTGCCATCATTTTGATGTGTAAGTTTTGGTGCTGTTGTTCGCTTTATTATGGATATAATTAATTTTCTTTTTTTTCTATTGCATAAATTATGGTTGTTCAAGTTGTGACGCCATCAGAAATCGATAACACAATGCCATGTTTAATGAACTGAAATGTTCCATTTGTTAGATATTCGATACATAGATTTTATGATACGCGTGTATCTCTTCAATTGGCCCAATCGACTAAACAAATGCGTGGAAATTAGGACGTTGCTGAATAAATCGAACAATGTAGAAATGAAATGTATGTTAAATTCCATACATAATGATTTGGATTATTGTTGTTTTCCCATGTCTGAACATAGCATTCGTATATGGTTTATTAATTACTTTGAAACTGTTTGAATTGCTTCGAAGCATCCGGAATAGCATACATCAATGCGACGCATCATTTTATGGCCATCGCTAACGCTGCCGTTGGGCGTTCGAATCTGGCACACGACGTGCTTGCTTCATATGTACTAATGACACTGTTAGCAACGACAGCGTTAGCGATGGACATAAAATGATGCAAGCATCATTCAATGCATCGTATCGATGTATGCTATTTCGTATGCTTGATTGTTTCTGAATGTATCTATTTGCGAAGCGCCCACCTGGGTGCAAACAATATTTCGTTTTAAAAGGATAATAATTACGGCTATTTGTAGAATTTACATTTTTCCCACAATCATCGTCTACTCTGCACCAATGATTTTAAGTTTATATTAGTTTAATTGGCATGATGTTCAATTTCTCATGTCATGTTTTTATTATTGTACAGCAACAGTTTACTCGTAGCCGGCTGTTTTTTTCTTCATCGTAGACGAATCTGTTTTGATGTGATTAAATTTTCATTTGTCCTCGATTTGTCCGCACTTTGTTGCCAGATTGTAATTTAATCGAATTTTATGACGATAATTATTAAAATGTAATTATCTACACGACATACGTATCGAAATATGACATTAAAAATCGTCTACACCCAACCAGTATTCCAATTGATGTTCTTTGGCACAAGCATCTCATTTTCTCGTTGAACATATTAAATCAGTCCGTTTTTATTGCAAATTCATTTCATTCCGATCCATTTATTTGTGCTGACTTTTGATTTTAAATCCTGACGTTTGTAATCAATTCCCAATTAAGGCATGATTGTTATGAGAACGAAAAAATCGACAAACTTTTGGTATGTTTTACAAAATAAAACAACTTTTCGTACAGAAATGAGGTTTTTAATATGACTAGCCACCAGATGTGGGTTCGATCTTTGTTTTTTTAGTATATATTTTATGTGGTATTTGCTGTCTGTCTCGAATTCTTTCACTCTCTCTATCTTGTTCTCCTTTTACTTTACTCTCTAATCAGCTTGATCGACTGAAACACCGAAACATTTCACTATCAAGTGAAACCAGTGCAAATAAATTCCAATTGAACAAACGCCGTAGCATCAGTAAAGTCAACAAAATAAAACCAAATAGCAAATAAATGAAGGGATTCCGTTTCTTTTTGTTTTCGCCGGTTTTCGCAATCGAAAAGAATGGTAACAATTTTCCAACTAAAGATTCATTTTGTTTGCGAAAGTGCTTTGCCAACGAGCTTAAAATTCAATTCACTTTCTTCTAATCATGCACAAATATTCCACAGCATCATATTGAATGAAAAGGTTCATCGGTGGAAAAAGGAAGGCCAAAATGAAGAAAGAAATAGAAAGAGAGTGGAAAAAACGCACCCACAATGAATATGGTGAAAATGAAGAGAATGCAAGCAGAAAAGGAAAAAAAAATGGAATGTATGCATGCCTCTGGCTTTGGCCCCATTTTATTTTCCATCGTTTACATTTCACTGATGATGCTTCCCATCTAAACCGAAATTCAGAAAATGAAATAAATAGGTAGATAGTGGCGCCACAACGAAATATAACCCATTTGAGGATATATTCTTCTGCTTCTGTATGCGAAAGAAAAATTGTACGAGATATACGCCCGAATTCCGTACGGTAATGTTGCTAAAAATGATACGCCAGTTTCTATGTTCAAATATGTGAAATTTCTCTCTATCTCTCTCGTTGTAGCGATATGCCCACGCAATTATATCTACAAAATGTTGTAAAACGCTTCAAAAGTATGGGATAGAAAACAATTTGCCCAATAAATATTTACGTATGAATGTAAGGATTTTATTGGTCCCCATAGATATTGGGATATTAAATCCAGTTGCTGAAAATGATACATTTTTTTTAGATTGATAAAATATTGAAGGAAAAAAACACAACATCAAGAAATCGATCAAGTTAATTGCAAATCATCGAAATTAAATTGCAACATCGCAAGAGAATTGACGTCTGAACATTTCTAGACAATTTGGCGTGTAACAATTAACATGGATAAAAGGAAAAAAAAAAGTGTCTGAAAGGGGAGAGAACGAAGCACGATTATGTTAGCGCATAGAAAGGAGACTACAACAAAACGCGATGTAATTGAAAGGCATGAAGCATAACATCAATTTCTCTAGAACTCATCTGTCAATCACAATAGCATTTTCAATCCCCGTCTGATGTAAATCCAGCACATTGTGAACCATCGAAATTTGAATATTTTATTGACACTAATTCGAATTAAACGTTGACATTTCACGCATTGTACGATGGCAACCATGACTATGTTTTTCTGAATTTTCGGCGCTGTTTTTTTTTTTTCATTCAATGGTGTTGAGTGACATTCACCTTTGGATGATATTGAAAGCCGCAATGAAAAATAAAATTTATATTACATTTATTACATTGAGTGCTCTTTCGATCTTTCGTTGTTTTTCGACGTTTTTTTTTTGTGATTTGGTTTGTGCCAAAAATAAAATAATTTTAAAATGAAATGAAAACAGAAAAAAAAAATCAATTCTCTGGGGTTCCATTCAAAATGAAACAATGATTTGTCGTCGAAATCGAAGCGACAACTCGGATATTCAATTTGTGTTCAAAGCGCATTTTTACGGTTTGAAAAATGCGTCGTTGTGATGACGCGCGACTGAACGCGGTCGCAGATGTGAAAATGAGTAAAATCAATGAAAAATGTTCGCTGCGTTGACATCTAATAATTCGTTTTGTTTTGCACGTGTGTATGTGCAACCCAACAATGTGCATCAAACGAAGAGAGATGCGAATATAGTGGGCATTTTTCAAACAAAAATTCACAACCGATTTAAATTGAAAGTGTAACACTAAACGAGCAATTTGAAGCTGTCATTGTGAGCACAATAAACGTTTTGCAGTTGCTTACAGTACACAGCACTCACAGACACACATAGCGCATACAATGTGTAGAAAATACTTTCATCTTTTATAGCTGATGGTTGTGCGAATCGATTGAGAGCACGAACAAAACGATAGCAAAAGACTTACGGTGGCAGCTGCAATGTTTCAATGTGACGCGACTAAAATCACGATAGAAAAATGTTCAAAGCAGTATACGTACGACGATTCCAACCATTTGCACATTTGAAATGTGTGCAAAATGTACTATTATTTACTGCTGTATGTAGTTCATAGTTGATTTTGTTCTCTTTCTGTGTGTGTATGTGTGTGACTGTGTGTCATTCCACATTATTTTGTTGTTGTCTTCGATGGGTTTTCCTTTCATGTTCTATATTTTTCTTTTCTGTAACGTATTTTATCGCTAAAGCTGAATGAAAATGCCTGTTAGAGAAATCACATGAAAACATTTTCATGACTTGTTCGTATTTTTTTCTACCCATTTATTCATACTTTCCATCTCTGTTTCTTTTTTCTTACAGTTTCACGAGCAAAAATACTTGGCAACTCGGAAATATTTGTTAAAAGTGGCAGCGACATAAATTTAACGTGTTTTCTACAATATTCGCCAGCGCCGCCATCATTTATCTATTGGTACAAAGAAGGACGTGTCATCAATTATTCACAGCGAGGCGGAATTAGTGTATTGACTGAACGTAAAACACGAACGAGTAAATTGGTTATTTCAAAAGCGATGTCATCTGACAGCGGCAATTATACATGCATACCATCCTCATCGGGTAAGTCTTTCTTTTTTTTATTCTCCTTTTTTTCTCTGTCGCATGTGAACGAATCAACTAGACTTTCTCTGGACTTGGTTAGACCGATCTTTGAATCCTTTGGCTCAAGCATTTCCTTGAAATTTTCGCATTTTTTTCGCTCACATCATTTTACTTCTTGTGCGCTTGCCACTTGTTATTCACACTATATGTTTGTATGTGTGATAGGGTGGTCCCGAATATACACAAATTCGAATTTTGATCGCAGCACACTCTATATATGTTAGACTTGGTCCCACAAACATATGTGCAAAGTTTCAGCACTCTATTGTAACGGCAACACGTGCCTCAAACGCCTTGAAGATTTTCTGTCGACACAGATCGTCACACATTTCGAACAAATTTTTTTCGACAAAACTATATGATAAAAATGTGTATTGAGGGGTTTTTTGGCACGCGAAAACCGAATCTGGCATTAGTTTCGCGATACAAATAAGCTTTAACACACTTTTCATACAAAAATCTGAAAAAATCACTAAAAATGTGGATTTTGTATGGGAGCTATACCTGTATGATATCGTAATGGGCTGAGACTTTGCACAGGCTATTTTCTTCACAAAAAAATAACATTCTGAAAGATTCACGGAATTTCAATGCGT